AACATTCTAATTAGAAAAGCATAATAATATAGCAGAAAAATAATAGAAAATTTATAGAAGATTATTAGAAATAATAATTAATAGAAAGAAGATAATATTATAATCTATTCAGCATACAGATTATAGAAAAGATTCTACTAAAAAAGAATCAGATATTGCAACTTAGTATTAAATAATAAATAGTATTATATAATTAGAGTTAGAATTATAATAATTATATAATCAAAGAAGTTAATAATCAATTCTATTAATCAGTTGAAAAAATTAATAATTAATTCTATCAATTCATATTAAAGAGCTAAATATATAAGAATATATTCATTATTACTAGATAAACTACTAGAATATAGCTCTTTAGTTATTAATCTAAGTATTCATTTATTATATATCTAAATAGCTTCAAAGATGAATGATCAGCACTTGTATGGATTATAGTTATATTTCTGTATTCAGTGGATTCTATTTTGATACCGCTCTTGTTAGCATAAATCTTTTTGTATACTTCAGATCTTCGGATATTGCAGTGCATTCATTACAACAAGCAAGATGAGCAGCAGATTCCGAAATCTTTGTACAAGCTTCATTCAGAATCTCCAGCGCCTAATGATAAGCTTCCTCCAACTCCGCTTTTGCTTTCCATTCCTTCAACTCAAGCTTTTTATTCTTCGCTATAATATGCGAGACTAAAGGAAAGAAGATTGTTAGAGCAAGTATGAAAAAAAAAAGAAAAAAGATATGCATAAGCAGAAACAGAAATTCTATAGCCATTGCAAGAACGAATACAATGAATATACTGAGAACAATGCTTTGTATTATCCATCATCTTATATACCAAACCCCAAGAAGCGCATGCAGTATAAGGCATGATTTTAAAACTGAACTAATTAACAGCTAACAAAAGATGATTATGCTATTCAGTTTTCTTGAAAAAAGGTTTATTGATTCTATTCAATATCTTAATTAGAAAAATATGATTCAATATACAAAGAACTTGCTAGGAAAACTTATAAAAGATTGTTAAGAATAACAACTAATAGGAGAGAGATGATATTATAATCTATCTAGCATACAGATTACAGAACTAGCCTTGCTAGCAAGGAAGACAGGAAATATAACTCAAAAGTATAAGTATGCTTAAGAAAAGATTAGATAATCAAGAATTAGAACTAGATAGGAATGAATTACTAGGATTACTAGAAACACAGCTCACCAGGCTTACTGAATTACTGCAGTAATCCATAGAATACTACGAAAACAGTAATTCATACTAAAGAGCTGAATATATAAGAATACATTCATTATCATTAGATAGACTACCAGAATATAGCTCTTCAGTTATTAATCTAAGTATTCATTTATTATATACTTGAATAGCTCCAAAAGCGAATGAATAGCACTTGTATAAACTACTCAGTTATATTTCCGTATTTAGTAGATTCTACTTTAATACCGCTCTTGCTAGCATAAATCTCTTTATATACTTCAGATCTTCAGATATTGCAGTGCATTTATTACAATTATGCTATATCTGTTTCTGCTAAGCAGCAATAATTCCCTGCTGCTGCAGCTATTATTGCTTGAGCTGTTCAACATGTTTCTGCAGCTAAAGAAGCTACTGAATCAGCTTATTCTGATAGATAGATAAAGAGAGAGTTGCGGAAGCTATTTGTTATGACCCATCCAACATGCAGGTCACAGGATAAAGCCCCGCCAACAAAGGAACCAGGTGTTACAGCCCAACGCCGGACACTAGGCAGGATTACATAACCCAGGGTTAGGGTTGTCAAGGAGAGAGGATCGCTAGACTCACCAGCGATCCCAACGAGCCTCACGCCTTGAATCGCTAGGCTCACCAGCGATCCCAGCGATTCATACTGAAGAGCCGAATATATAACCACACATTCATTACCATTAGATAGATTCAGTATATAGCTCTTCAGTTGTCAATCTAAGTATCAGGTTACTCTCTTACCCTGATAGCTCCAAAGGCAGTGAACACTTGCACGATTACTCAGTTGTATTTCCGTATTCAAGGCCCACACCTAGCACCGCTCTTGTTAGCATAAACCTCTTTGTATACTTTGGAATCTTCGGATTACTGCAGTGCTCATTATACTATTATATTTCTGTATTATTCAAGTAATTAATACTGAACTGTTTCTAAATAAGAATTATCAAAATGTAATAAGCGCACTGCAATATCTGAAGATCTGAAGTATACAAAGAGTTTATACTAACAAAAGCAGTATTAAAATAGAATTTACTAAATACAGAAATATAACTAAATAATTCATACAAGTACTATTTATTTGCTTTTAAAGCTATTCAAGTATATAACAAATAAATATTTAGATTAATAACTAAAGAGCTATATTTTGATAATCTATCTAGTAATAATAAATATATTCTTATATATTCAGCTCTTTAGCATGAGTTGATAGAGTTGATTGTTAACTCCTTTAACCAGTTGATAGAGTTGATTATCGATTTCTTCAACTATGCAACTATTATAATCCTAACTCTGGTTATATAATTCTGATCTGTATTCTTTTATAGGCTGGTGTTGGTTTCTTGGCATCAAAGGATCCGCTCTGAGTGTTCTGCTGTGCTGCTTCCCTGTCGTGACCTGCATGTTGAATAAGTTATAACACTTTGCAATATACTTAATTTTGCTAATATATTTTACTACATCTTTATATATAATGCAGAATATATAATATATAAACTTAGTTTTGAAAAATTCTTTATCTATATTCTTATTTACAGTATAGAATTAGTTTAGTATAAAAATTTCAGAATTAATTATATATACTAAAATTATTATGAAACTGCTTAAATCTTATATATTAGCTATAGTTGCAAGCTATACTTCTCGAAAAAGATTAAATATAAATGATTTCCAGTATAAGAATAGGAATAGATTATTCAAGTTATTAAGAAATCTAGTATTAGATTCAGAAAAGTTTTTGAAATAAGGCAGAATAATATATATATTAAGCTATTAGCAAATAGCTTTCGAAACTATATTAATAGCAGAATGAAATAATAGCAGTATTAAATAATCAATTATACTATTTATATAAGCAATAAGATTTGCAACTAATATAATAAATAAGAAGCTAGAAAGAAATATTAATATGAATAGCAATAAGCTAGAAAGCTTACTTAGCAAGCAGTATAATAAGCTTAAACTTCAAAAGGAAAGAATTGTTTATAATAAGATTATAAATAATCAGAGCTTAAAGATTTCTATATACTGCATACAGTAGAAATAAAGCATATATAAAACTTAATACTTATATTTACAGAAATAAATATAAAGCTTTATTGAATAGTAGCGCTTAAGAAAACTTTATATTTCTCAGAATTATTAATAAAGCATATATTAATTAATATTAGAAGAAGAAAATCTATAATCTTCTTACTATAAAAGAACAAACTATTGTATATAATCAAGATATAATTAATATAAAAACTAATTATTTACTAATTTTAATTTAAGATTATATAATATTTATTGCTTTTAATATTATAAATATAATAGAATATAAATTAATTCTAAGCATTTCTTAGCTTAAGCAGCATAATTCTTAAATCAATTGAATTACTAGCTAGATTTCTTAAAAATAAGCTATACTTAATAGAATAATTATTAGTTTATTATTTCCAATAGTAACTATTTCTAATAAAAAGAATAAACTTTTCATATAAAAGTTTAAACTATAAACTAAGGAGCAAAAATATAATGAGCACTGCAGTAATCCGAAGATTCCAAAGTATACAAAGAGATTTATGCTAACAAAAGCAGTGCCAGATATAAGCCTTGAATACAGAAATGCAACTAAGTAATTATACAAGTATTTACTGCTTTTAGAGCTATTAGAGTAGAAAGTAATCTAATACTTAGATTAATAACTAAAAAGCTATAAACTGAATCTATCTAATAATAATGAATATGCAGTTATATATTCAGCTCTTTAGTATGAATATATTAAATAGCAATATATTTAAGTTATTTTGCTAGCTTTAAATAGCATATATTCCAAGCTATTCTTTCTGATTAGTTATACTTATAATTCTAATTCTGAATTATATAATCAATGTTTTATTAAAATATTAGATTCTTAATATCTAGTTCTTATTTGCTTATAATCTATTTCGTAATCTGTATATTAAATAGATTATAATATTATCTTTCTTCTATTAGTTATTATTTCTAATAATCTTTTGTAAGTATTCTAGCAAGTCTTTCATATATATAATCTTGCTTTCCTAATTAAGATATTGAGCAGAATCAATAAATCTCGTTCTCGTACTGAGAAGATTAAATAAAAGAATTCTTTTCTTTTCTTAGTTCTTAAAAATGCTATTATTATGCCTTCCTATTCTTTCTACGAGGATTGTAATATTCAGTTTTATTAAATCTCTATCGAGAATTTCTTCTATTATACTGAATATATCCGCCTGAGCTGCTTTCGATGCAATATTCAGAAGCTAAGTATAGCGGAAATTCATTAGATAAGCATTCAATACCAACATTTGAAGAACTAACTCAAGAGTACTGAGAAGTAGCTGTATAATGCTATTGCAGAGATAGAATGCTTGCAGAAGCAAAAGTATTTATAATTTGAAAGAATAATAAAAGCTATTTGCTGAAGCCTTTCTAGCATGAAAAAGCTGAAATGTAAGAAAGCTGAGAAGAAGCGAGCTTGTATTGCTGCTAGAATTCGTTTTATAATTACAAAGAAATCTGCTATAATTGCTGAAGATCTTTCTTTTAAGGATTTCAATTAGAATTTCATAGATATAAGGAATTCAATAGTAGATTAGTCGGGTTTTCTGAAGAGTAAGATCTCTAAGGCTTCTGAATCTTGATTTAGAATGAAGCAATTATTCTAAATACTAATTTCTTTCCTTTTCCAATACTCAGCTATTTTCTTCTAAGCATTTTTAATATTTTTCTGTAATTTCTACGAATTTTCACTTACTAAATAATTCTTTCATTTGATAAGATATTCCCTTATGCTATTTATACTTCTATGCTTAAGAATCTTTTCTATCTTATACTCTGATTCATTATTTTCTACTTCTGCTATATTATTCATTAATATTTTCTATACTGCTAATTCTAGCAATAAGATATAGAAAACTGAATATATTCTTATTTTATAAGATAATACTAATTTATAATTAACTAAGAAAATCTGCTACAAGATTTTAAATAGCTCTAACTTCTTATAATCAAGTTTATTGCTAAATCTAGTTATTTTAATATTTTTTCAAAGTAAATAGATCTTATTTTCTTTCTATAGAATTAATCTTTCAATTCTTTTAAAGTTTGCATATTATATTATTTATTTCTAAATGAATTGTAATTCTAACTAGAATTCTTTCTAAATCTTCTTAATCTTTTTAATTCTTTTATTTATAACTTCTGTATTTGCTTCTAGCAATACTTTATAATAAGTTATTAGATTATATTTATAGAATATAAAGAATAATAACTTCTTTATTATGCTTATATCTGTATTATTATAAGCAAACTATATAAAAAGTAATAGATTAATCTAATTATTCTATTTCTAATTAATATAGTATTAAAAGTATTATTTAATAATCTAATTCATTCTTTTTATCTATTTATCTATTTATAAGTAAAATACTATAAATATTCTATAATATATTCTAAGCTATTTTATAAGCAAAGTTTAAAACTTTGAATTAAACTTTCTATTTCTATTAGAGATTATTTCTTCTAGTATGCTATAATTAGCAATAATCATTCTGAGAAATACATATATGAATTCCTTTACTATACTGCTTTTCTTATAAAAGAGAAAGTAAGCATACTTGCTCAGTTTGCAAATTACTACTAGAATATTATTATATTATATCTTAATTAAGAGTTTTTATAAGAAAGATAGCTTAATAATAAAGTTTAAACTAATAAATTATTAAATAATTATAAGTATTAATAAGAAGTATAATAGTTTATAAAGCTTATATCTTTCTGCTTTATTCTTCTTATAGCTATTATATTATTATAAGATATTCTCAATCTTTTTTCTAAAGCTTAATAGATTTTAATATTTTTTAATATATTTATAAATTGCTTTAACTCTCTGATATTTATATACAGATGTATTATATATATTCTTAATATAATTATTTTGTTTATTTGAAATTATTAATTCTGAATTCTTCTTCAAGAATTCAATTCTAAAAGCAGCATTTAGCTTCTTATATATATTAATTGTCACGGTCTCAGGTCGGGCAGGGAACGTCGAGCAGGCAGGTAACAGGAAAGGTTCTCAGGCAGGGTTGGGTTTATTGACAAGACGCAGCTCGAAGAGCTGCAACAGGAAACGAGCAAAGCAGGCCCAACTAACTGAAGCTATATACTGATGCTATGCTAGCTTACATAATCCTTATCATCCTGCTAGCCTTATCAGTCTCTACTCTCAGGATTAGGGTTATTCAGTGACTTAGTATTCATGTCTGTAACATTATCCCCTCCTCTAGAACCGAACTCCAGAGAGGTTATTACTAACAGTATCAGACAGGCCCAGGCTTGTACGGATAGCGCTGATGGAAGTTACGCACAACTTCCTGAGCGTTCTGCAGGTGGGAGGCGGGCATCTCCTCAGATTCTTCGTAATTAGTCTACTTGACAGTATACTTTAGTCGGGAGTGACCTTCTCGGCTACAGCAGTTCCAGCGGAAGTTCAAAATCTTGTTTACTTTCTATTTCTTCAACCCATCTATCTTAATAGGTAGCAGAGGATTGTTTAGCTGAGCGGGTAATGAATCTTTAGCAGCAGAGCGGAGTAAGCTGATATAGAATATAGAATAAATTCTTATGGATTTTAGCAAGCGGAGTTGGTAAGCATATAAACTGATAATCTTCTCGATCTTGTAAGATTTACAGTTCTTCTAGTTGAGTTTCTTTGCAGAGCATAGAATCTTGATATTACAAGCATTAAGCTAGATCTTCTAGCTAATTCGGAATCTTTAAGCAGAGATTTGCTTATAGTTATGTAATGAGCACTGCAGCAATCCGAAGATTCCTAAGTATACGAAGGGGTTTATGCTAACAAGAGCAGTATCAAAGTATCAAGTCCTTGAATACAGAACTGTACAAGTCCTAATAAGCGATGCAAGTATTTACTGCCTTTGGAGCTACTTAATGTATGAAACTGAATACTTAGATTAATAATTGAAGAGCTATATACTGAATCTATCTAATGGTAATGAATGTGTTCTTATATATTCAGCTCTTCAGTATAGCTTGTTAGAATTGCTAGCAAGTCTAGCGATTCAAGGTATAAAGCTCGTTGGAATCGCTAGCGAGCTCAACAATCCTTCCTCCTTTATAACCCTAATCCTGGATTATATAATCAATGCTTCGCAAGAATGTTGAGTTCTTAACACTTAGTTCTTGTTACTCGTAACTTGTTTTCGTAATCTGCATGTTGAATAAATCATAATATTATCTCTCTTCTATCAGTTATTATTTCTAACGATCTTCTGTAAGTATTCTAGCAAGTATCTATATTCATGATCTTGCCTTTCTAATTGAGATGCTGAATAGAATTAATAAAATTGCAAAACCGAAATCCTTGAATTCTTATTTCAACAAAAAGAAGCAGAAAGATCTTCTTCTTCAGTTTATTCTTTCAAACAGTTTCAATATGCATCTCTGTTCTTATTGCAATAGTTGAGGTCTGCAATTGTATATCGTTTCTTCTCATAATTCATTCTGTTGCTCGGAGTGCATTTCTCAGAATTGTGCTAAGTGCGATATTCTGGAGCTAATGAATGCTGCTGAACTTCTTCTTATCTCTATCCAGCATCGAAAGCTGAAGGATGAGATAAAAGAATTGGAGTTGAAGCTGTTTTAATTGCATTAATAAAAGAAGATGTGGCATGAGAGGATATCTCGAGCTATTTGTTGAGATCTTAAGAATCTCGAAGAGCTTGAGAAAGAGGAGGCTGAGAAGGCTAAGGCTGAAAGGGTGCGTGTTGCTGCTGAAGTGCAGGCTGTAGTAGCTGAGGAATCTGCTGTTGTAGCTGGAGATTCTTCTTTTGAGAGTTTCAACTGAAACTCCATGGATTTGAGAAGTTCTGTAGTAGATTGGTTGAGCTTTCTGAAGAGTGAGATTCCCGAAGCTTCTGAGTCTCGGTTCGGGGCGAAGCGATCATCTTAGGTACTAGTTTCCTTCCTTTTCCAATACTTAGCTATTCTTTCTTAAGCATTCTTAACATTTTTCTGTAATTCCTATGAATTTTCGCTCATTGGATAGCCTTTTCATCTAATGAGATATTCCCTTGTATTATTCATGCTTCTATGCTTAAGAATCTTCTCTATCTCATACTCTGATTTATTATTTTCCACTTCTGCTATATTGTTTATTAGTATTTCCTATACTGCTAGTTTCAGCAGTAAAATGTGGAAAACCGAGTATATTCTCATCTTATGAAGTAATGCTAATTCGTAGTTAACTAGAGAAATCTGTTATAAGATTTTGAATAATCCTAACTTCTTATAATTGAGTTTGTTGCTAGATCTGATTATTTTAATATTTTTCCGAAGTAGATAGATTTTATCTCTCTTCTATAGAATTAATTTCTTAATTCTTTTGGAGTTTGTATATTGCATTATTCATTCTTGAATAAATTGTAATTCTAATTAGAGTTCTTTCTAAACTTTCTTAATCTTCTTAATTCTTTTATTTGCAGCTTCTGCATTTACTTCTAGCAGTATTTTGTAATAAGCTATTAAGTTGTATTTATAAAGTATAAAGAATAATAATTTCTTTATTATGCTTATATCTGCGCTATTATAAGCAAACTATATAAGAGATAATAAATTAATTTAGTTATTCTATTCCTAGTTGATATAGTATTATAGATATTATTTAATAACTTAATTCATTCTTTTTGTTTGTTTATCTATTTATAAGTAAAATGCTGTGAATATTCTGTAGTATATTCTGAGCTATTTCATAAGCAAAATTCAAAACTTCAAATTGAACTTTCTATCTCTATTAGAGATTACTTCTTCTAGCATGCTATAGTTAGCAATAATCATTCTAAGGAATGTATATATAAGTTCCTCTGCTATACTGCTTTTCTTATAAAGAAGAAAATAAGTATACTTGCTTAGTTTACAAATTACTATTAGAATGCTATTATATTATATCTTAATTAAGAGTTCTTATAAGAGAGATAGCTTAATAATAAAGTTTAGACTAATAAATTGCTAAATAGTTATAAGTATTAATAAGAAGTATAATAGTTTATAAAGCTTATATCTTTCTGCTTTGTTTTTCTTGCAGCTATTGCATTATCTTAGAATGCTCTTAATTCTTTTTCTAAGATCTAATAAATTTCAATATCTTTTAATGCATTCATAGATTACTCTAACTCTCTAGTGCTCATATGCTAGTATACTATATATATTCTTGATATAGTTGTTTTATTTATCTGAAATTATTAATTCTGAATCTTTTTCTGAAGATTCAATTCTGAAGGCAGCATTCAGTTCTCTGTATACATTAATGAGATTTCCTAACTTATTTTGAATAAAGATGTTCTGTATATCCAAGAAATCTGCATCTTAGTAATCTGATTTTCTGCTAAGAGCATCTGCTTGTTCATTCTTTAAGCTTTTGCAATATATAATCTTGAAGTTAAATTATAAGAAGAATTCTGCTTATCTAATTTGCTACTTATTCAAAATCTTAATTATTATAAATATAATTAGATTCTTATAATCCGAATAAACTATAATCAAGTATTATATGCTAATAAAGTAATATTACTACTTCTTAAAAGCTTTTACTATTGCTATAAATTCCTAATCAGGAATTCTATAGTTGATTTCCGAACTATTTAATTTCTTTAAGAAGTTGCTTATAATTCTTAGATATTCTTAGTTATCTTGCTAGCTAAATTGTTCTCTGAATACATATTCTGATACATTAATCTTAACTTTAAAGAATTTATAGAGATTTGCTTTATATAGAATTAATTCTGAAGTAATATGCTTAATAATCTTATTGAAAACTTCTTGTACTTTGGGAATTTATTTGAAGAATTGATTCTTTTTAGTAAGATTTGTAAGAAGATATGCAATTCAGCTATAGTTCTTAATAAACTGCTTATAGAAATTGATATATTCGAAAAAAGATTTAATATTTCTAATATTCCTAGGAATTAGCTAATTTCTAATAGCTTCTACTTTATCTTTCTATAGCTTGATGCATTCTAGCTTGATTATAAATCCGAGATAATCAACTTTTTATACATGAAAATAGCTCTTTGCAAGCTTTATAAGGAGTTTTGCATTTTAGAGCATTTGCAATACTATTTTCATATATTTCTTGTATTCTTTTAGTATTTGAGAGAAAATGAGAATATTGTTAAGATAAGCAATAATAAACTAATTCAGATACTTGTATAGAATGTGATTGATTATTTTCTGAAACGAAGCTGAAATATTCATTAGATTAAAAAGCATAACTAGATATTCGTAGTATTCATAGCATGTTCTAAAAGCAGTTTTCCATTCTTCTTCTTTCTTTACTCTGATCAGATTGTAAGCTTTTTTCAGATTCAGAATTGTAAACCATTATACTTCTTATAACTTATCTTATAATTTCTTAATAAGTAATAATAGATATCAGTTCTTGATTATAATATCATTGAGTTATTTGTAGTTAATACATAGCCTAAGCTTGCTATTCTTCTTGAGTACAAACAGAATAAGATATCCTATTAGTAATTGCAATGATTGTATGTATTCCTTTTTTAAATTCTTATCAAGATACTCTCTGAATGCTTCTAGTTGTACTTGATCTAATTCATAAATAGGGAAGAATTTGAACTGTTTCTCTTCTTGTAGCAGGATCTTGTAGTTATATAAGCTGTATTTCAGCAATCCTGTATTCAATTCTTCCTGGAATAGTTTCTTAAACTTGTAATATTCTTATAATATATTTGCAAGTATTAGTTCTGATTTCTATACTGTTTCTGCTATCTGGAGGAATAGTAAGTATTGTTGAGCATACTTCTTTTCATTTGTTGTTTTTGGTAACGTTTTTGAGAGCTTTGAGCGTTCGCTCCAAGCCAAACTGAGCGTTCGAGGGTCTGATTTCGAGATTTTTCCTGTATAGGTTTATAATTCATATTCTAAAGCTTTTTCTTATTGCTTCGAAGCGAACCAACTTGCTGAGAGTCTCGCTTTCATTGTTTTGCTAACCTATTAGTATCCTGATACTATTTGAGTTTGCTTATTACTAGATTCTTCTCCTTGAACTGCTAGCTCTGCTGATTTGAAAGTATATATGAAGTTGTATGAAGCTTCTTTTCCTAAGTATTCTTCAATCACTAGCTTCGATTCTGCGCTATTAATTGTAACTATCTCTCTAAATACAGCTTGTTTTCATAAGATCTAGCTAGTAGTTCAATTGATTTAAGAATTGTACTCCTTAAGCTATGAAAGCTTTATAATCAGCTTATACTATACTGTATTTATAATATTAAAAGAAACTCTGATTATATATTCTTGGATTAAGATAGATAGATAATTAGTTTTCTTATCGATTACTTCTTGGTTATATATAACAGATTGTTCTTTCACAGTGCTGAGAGTATATGAGCATCTCTTCTGCTTTCATTATAGTTATATCTGATTAATGATATATAGGAATATAAAGTTTTCCTAAGCATTACTATTTAATAGTATGCTATATCTGTATTCTTGAATATATATATCGAACTTAATATAAGCATAATTTGTTTTAGAAGCTTTATATAGAAACTATTTTGATCTGATTATCTACAGTTTTTTTACAAGCAATTCTGTTCTTTTGAGTTTATTAAGAACTATTTATTCTTCTAAGCCTGCTTTGCTGCTTCTTAAGCAAGCTTCTTAGCTTGCTTTTGCTTATATTATTATTATTTCTGATTTTTCTTCTATTAATACTAATTGCAAATTTTGTTATTAATATAAATCATATAGAGTATTATCTTGCATTGCTATTATTTTGTTTCCTTATTTATACATTATATAGAGCAGTTATTTAATAATTCGATATATATATTATAGTGCTATCTATTGAAAACTTCTCTGAAGCAGAGTTTCTGTTCTTCAATAGCCTGAAGGATTTGTTCTAGTTCTCTGATAGGAAACTATTCATATTGCATCTTCTCTAAGAAATGCATTCTGCAGCTATGATAGATGCAGAAGATTCAAGCTAATTTGTAATATAAGTTGTAAAGTAAGCTGATCTAAGGATTCTCATCTTCTTATGCTTCAATATTCTGTAAGAGAATGCAGATAAAGAGCTTTTCTAGCTTTATTTCATAAACAAGATATTCAATTTATATTATTTTCTTGTTTTATTTAATATTAAAGGAAAACCTTTCTGTAGGTTTCTTGAGTTTATTATTTATAGGAGATTCTAGTAAACTACTGAATTGCTTATTCTAGCTTAATCTTTCTGTTATTTAAAAAGCGTTTTTGGTATTGTTTAGATATTCATATTAATAACTAAGAGAGTATCATTCCTTATTCATATTCCTGATTATAGTGCTTAGTATAAATAATAAAGAATATTAAAGAATATTATTACTAAGCTCTTCTTTTAATATCTGAATGCTTTATTCTACAATGCTAGAGCAGTTCGAATTGCTATTTGTAAGAATGCTAAGTATGCATTCTCATTCTACTGTTGCTATTTATCTGCAGCGCTGAAGCTTCTGAGAGAACTATTTTAAACCTTTCTTACTCAAGAAATATATTAAGCAGTTATTATTATAATAGAATATTTAGCTAAGATTTTCATAATTAATAGAGTTTAATACTTGCTTTAAGAAAGTATTTTTGCTTAGTTAATTGAATTTCTATTATTAAGCAATATTCATCTAGCATTCTTTCTGAATTAATTGCTATTTATTCTTCTGAAATTAATAGCAGTTATATATAATATATTCTTATTTATTGCAATTATAGCAAATAATACTATTTCTCTTGCTATACTGCTTATTAGCTATATTGAATTTCATGAAACTAGCATGTATAATACTACTCTAAGCTATGCTGCTATATCAACTGCTATTCTTGTTTTAGAATTTCTTGTTTATATTAGCTGGAAACTTCTAAGTCTAGCTTCCTTTCTTCTTAAACTTCTCTATCTATTATTCATACAAACAGTTATTAATACAGATAGCTTGATTAAAGAATATTGCAAAGTTCTTCAGCTAATTCTGCTTAAAGATTTCATCTTTAATATTATTCTTAAATCCCTTATAATAATACTTCATAAGATTCTTATCTTTCTATAGGAATTGTACTAAGAATTGCTTGAATCTAATTATATAAGCAGAAGCTAACTTAGTCTGCTTGAGATTCATAAGCTGCTAAGCTATAGTATATTCTTTGTTAGAATTATCAAAAGTTTTCTTAAGAGCTTTTTTGAAGCTCTTAAAGAAATTAAATATATTCTT